TTTTAAGGACATTCATTTTAGTTAATTGTTTCGGCTGTTTGGATAATTTTATTCTTATTAACCTAAAACTCTTCTTTTCATGTGCAGTGATCATATATATTTAACAATTGTCTACATTTATGAAATTACTTAACGACATTATAAAATAACAATAATTTTTTAAACAATACTAAATAAATTTTAGGGCATAATTTTGTTTGCTGAACTACATTAAGTAAATTGCGAATATTTTATGAGTCTCAATTTTCCAATTTGTATGATCTGTGTACCAAAAATATAACCTGCCAGAAACAATTCTCATATTTGCGATAAACTTAAGCTCAGTTAATACCAGCAGAGCAAGAATTAATTCAATAGAATAGAACAATAGAATAAAACATTGTTCTTTCAATATGATTCTACGGATATTAGTAATTCTGGCATTATTTGCTCTACAGATATTCAGTTCACAAGAATCTTCCCCATTCACATATGAAGTAGACTGCAGTACATTACGAATGGGCCAGTACCTTTGCCCAGATCCAAGATTTTACAACCAAATTGACCCCAAAACGCAGCAATTGCGCAATTGCAAGAAAAACAATAAAGCCCTCATGCAATGTGTTGCTGTAGAAGGTTTAATGTGCACTGAAACAAAAAACTCCACATTCTTCAAAGAAGTGCCCTGCAAATGGACAAATGGATACTCCTTTGAGACAACAATGTTACTCTCAGTGTTCCTGGGAATGTTTGGGGCTGATAGATTTTACTTGGGCTATCCAGCAATAGGTCTTGCCAAGTTTTGCACATTGGGATTTATGTTCATTGGCCAACTTGTGGACATCATTCTCATTGCAACACATTATGTTGGCCCAGCTGATGGATCTCATTATGTCATGCCACATTTTGGTCCAGCTGTGGATGTAATAAGAAGTGATAACTCAACATATAGACTAAGACAGGATGATTGGTAATTGTAATAAAAGTTAGATACATATTTAATAACTATTTATTTACATAACTATCTGCATAGATTAATTTGTTTCATTTGTTTTCAAAGAAGCTTCCTGCTGTATCTTCAGAAGTTGTGCTTTGGCAGCATCAATTTCCTCTTGTGTTATGGTGACTTCCATTCCACATTCCCTCTGTTCATCACGAAGAAATTCTAGGGTCCTTGCCTTTTCTTCCAAGAATGCAGGATGTTCTTGGGCTAGCAGCATCCTATACTCCTCAAGTTTATCATCAGTCACCTGATCACAATACTTTTTGGTAAGTTTCACAAGTGATTCCCTTCTGACTACCCATCTGAATTCATTTGGTGGTGGTTTATAGACAATATTCAATGACTCCAGCAACCACTCAAACTTTTTGTAATCCCATCTTCTTAAATACTTCAAATGCTTCTTTCTCTTGTCGATAAGTTCCTTTAGATTGACTTTAAGTCGTAAATTACGTGGGAATTTCTCGGCTTGTTCCTGAAGAGCACGAATAGCTCCCGTCCAACGTGCGATTCTTGCCTCAATTGAACCTTTGTCAAGATCATGCCGGTTCACATTCGCGACTACTGATCTAATGTACACTTGTGTTGCCTTCTTACGCGGCTGAAACTCTAGGGTAAATAATCGTCGCACTAATTCATCAGCAGTTTCCAATTCCTTGCTGTTTCGGAAATCGTAAGCAAGCTGAGAATTTTTGATTTGCGGCATCGGCTCTAAATCGCCACTTTTCTGCGGTTTGATGCACGAAATCTTCTCGGGACGCACCCATTTTATTTTCAAATCACTTTTAAACGCATAGTTTCTTAATTGCACGGCGTCGAGACGAGTTTTTATTAACAATGTTCTTATAGAGTTCATTTTAACTTAACAAATCTGCAAACAGGATTGATGAATACAAGTTGGGGTTACGTCTACTACACCACTGTTACACATGTGGTGTATTGTAAGTTGCCTATCTAAAATTTTTGACATTTAAAAACGGACAAATTGAAAGTCGAGTAATTTATTCTTCAGTGTCAGTTTAACAGTTACATTTTTATTTTTATGGACATAGTTTTATACTTCTACGCGGCCGTTGGGGTGAGTGCTATTTAATTTGACAAATTATCCGCGTTTGGTTGGNACTACCCATCTGAATTCATTTGGTGGTGGTTTATAGACAATATTCAATGACTCAAGCAACCATTCAAACTTTTTGTAATCCCATCTTCTTAAATACTTCAAATGCTTCTTTCTCTTGTCGATAAGTTCCTTTAGATTGACTTTAAGTCGTAAATTACGTGGGAATTTCTCGGCTTGTTCCTGAAGAGCACGAATAGCTCCCCGTCCAACGTGCGATTCTTGCCTCAATTGAACCTTTGTCAAGATCATGCCGGTTCACATTCGCGACTACTGATCTAATGTACACTTGTGTTGCCTTCTTACGCGGCTGAAACTCTAGGGTAAATAATCGTCGCACTAATTCATCAGCAGTTTCCAATTCCTTGCTGTTTCGAAAATCGTAAGCAAGCTGAGAATTTTTGATTTGAGGCATCGGCTCTAAATCGCCACTTTTCTGCGGTTTGATGCACGAAATCTTCTCGGGACGCACCCATTTTATTTTCAAATCACTTTTAAACGCATAGTTTCTTAATGGCACTGCGTCAAGACGACTTTTTATTAACAATGTTCGTATAGAGTTCATTTTATTTCAACAAATCTGCAAACGCGTTTGATGAATGATGAATACAAGTTGGGGTTACGTCTACACCAATGTTACACATGTTGTGTATTGTAAGTTGCCTATCTAATATTTTTGACATTTAAAAACGGACAAACTGAAAGTCGATTAATTTTATTCTTCAGTGTCATTTCAACAGTTACATTTTTATTTTTATGGACATAGTTTTATACTTCTACGCGGCCGTTGGGGTGAGTGCTATTTAATTTGACAAATTATCCGCGTTTGGTTGGCGGATTGCTATTCGGGTTATAGAAGATGCGATGATAGGGATTCTGGTTGGCATATTTCGATTCCCTCACATGTGCAGGTATCAATAATTTCTGGAACAACTAATGGCGAAAGCATAAAATCGATCGAATCCATTAGTCTTGCACTAAAACATTTACCTACCTGAATGTAAAAAATGCCTAATCGTGCAGCCAAATTAACTTCATCGTCGCCATCTTCACATTCTTCATCTTCCTCATCATCGTTACGCCACCACCATCGATATAGCCAGGAAAACATATTGCCAATGAGTTCAAAACGTACAAAATTTTAATCAATCTAACTCCGTTTTATAAACTAGTAAAATATGAATTAATTTTGGCTGATTCAATCCCACAAATTTAATTCCCCAGTTAAAATATGCAAAATTGATTAAAGCATTTGATTTGTTTGCCCGCCCCGGTTTTCTAACGTTTTTTTTTCACGAATTCTAGACAAGTATGACAAAAGTGCGTTTGCACAAACACGAACGAAATATAAAAACGACGTCACATTATTTTTGACGACCTTCTTCGACACGTTTTTATGAATTTGACGTTAATTTATTTATTCAATATCATTAGTCATGACAACATAAAATTTTGTTTTTACCACTTCATTGATTATTGCGTTGCCATCAGTGCTATTTATTTGAGTAGGCGTATTTTGTGTTCTCAGTGGATTATATTAACGGTTCGATGGCTTGTGACTGCAGCAAGGATTGCCACAACTCTTTTGCTTTGCGTTCCTCTTGCGTTTCCTTTTACATAGAACATTGCATGGCTGTGGATTGCGTCGAGTTTTGCAGCATTTGCGTCTGCATGGTGGCTTGCAGGGCGGGGTAGGGACGGCGGCGTACGGTGGCACTGTTAATCTCTTAAAGAACTGCGGAGAAATCATTATAGATTATACTACATTTATGAGTCATTGAAAGCAGGGAGTGGGACCTAAACACCTGCGACTGGATGACTCAAGCACGACTGAGCGCGGGGCGCGCTTGTGGGTTCCTTTTTATACCTGAGGACTACCCGCAAAAGTGGAGGGGAAGATGCGCCGCTACTGATTACGCGGTTAGATCCAAGTATGGTTGTCTCTTGAAGGCGCACCTTCCCCCACTCCCTAGCTTTGTTCCGCCACTGGTATAAAGGGGTGACTCTGACTTATCTCACTGCTCAGTCGTGCCAGAATTGTCTAGGGGTCGCAGGGTTCTAGGTTTGGGATAGTCGCGTCATTAACAGGCGTGCCCTTTTGTTATTGCGGTCAAAAATCCCATGGGGGTCTTTACTAAATTTGGGAACGGCTAGGTTAATCGGTCAGTAGTTTAATTATTGATCTCGGTAGTTTCATCGAGGAATAATGTAAAAAATTATAGTAACGTACGCTTAGCCAGGTATATCCAAGATTTATAGCCGCCCCTGGGTTAAATTCAAGTGGATCTCCTTTCGGTTCGGGTCGGCATCGACATTCCGAAAAGTTGCGCCCAAAGAAGTCATAAAAGGCACCAAGAACCATTTTTTGATATTGAATACGTGCTAATTGCTGTACCAAAATTTACAAATGATTAGAAAATGGTTATGAAATGTCAACGTGCATGATGTGTCAGCTGTTACCTTAGAAACATATTCAAAGTTGTTTATAGGGAGGGTACCTACAATCTGCCCCAAAGTACTAACTTTTAGAAGCAATAACATACATTATCTGCTAAAGACCTTAGAAGTACTTAAAATAATTTAATGACAGTTTAATACATATTGCAATCTTAACTAAACTTAAATATTATTCACATCATTGCTTTAGTATCAATCGTTTTATACACAAATGTTTATCTGATTCGTGAATTCAGCGGATTTATTATTTTACCCGCCATTAAATTCACGTGTATCTGGCTATCCATGACGAAGTAAAGAAAAGGATGATCAGCACGAAACTCTGTTGGTCGATAATGGTCCAAATTTCCTGAAAATTCAATAATTAACAATAAAATCATACATTTAATTTAACTTATTACTTAATTAGTTTAAATTTAAGTTTAATTTCGATTTCTGCTAATTACACTACTTTAATGCTTTTGAAATGTTCTATTTCAAGTACTTGTTTTCATTTTAAGTTCACATTCGTTTTCATTCAAGTCTTAAGATTCGGTCTGCTTTGGTAGTGTTCTAGCTCGTCGTTATTGTTCGCGAGTTCACGAATGCATCGCGCCGTTTAATTCGACGTAATATTCAACTGTGTCGCGCGTAGACCACCAAAGCACTCTGGAGCTCATGCAATAATTAAACGACTCGCGAGCTAACGACTTTATTGTGCGAAAAATTATGAAACGACACAACCGTACAACTACACGACACGCGAAGCAACGAAACATCATGCCACAATTATCAAATTCAAAGCGCTTTAATTTCTTAATTTTAATCTTTGTATGCGCAGACCGATGCGCAAGTAAAACATGACGCTGAGTGTGAAATACTCGTCTTAATTGTGTGCAATTTTATTCTTACCTAAATGAAATACTTAATTTACTAAGTAAAAGTGTCAAAAAGATGACACCTTGAATTATTCTGTTGAAAAACATGCAAAAAAAATATAAAGCAAAACTACGAAAAAATCAAAGTTTGTTTTGTTTGTAATTTTATATTATTTAATACAAACGCAACACCTGGTATGATTACTTTTAGGCAATTTAGCCATCGTTAACTTCATCACGCTCAATTAATTTTTTCACATCGTAATGTTTCAATGTTTTCATTCTTAAGTATCTTTTCTTTCGGAACGTTTGTTTCTTTCAATGTCCTTTTACAAACATTTTTTATCCGTCAACATCGTCTCAATCAGCGACATTCTCGCATAACAAGCTAATTTAACTTTTGACAACTCAAAGAGTCCCTGGAATCGACGAAATTCCTTAAAATCTCATCGACGTTGTCACGGCGCGCTCGCAAGGTCCAATTACGTGCCTCGCGTACGTTTTACGTGCGACAATCATGAAACGTACGAAATTGAAAGTGATTCGTCGCAGGAATTCATCCCGACGTCGTCGAAATGCGCGTTATTAAGACATTTAACACCTATAGCGCTCGTCGTTAACAAGCGCCGTGATGATGATAAGGCAAATCCTTGCGACTCTAAAGAGACGCAATGAAGGAACCAAAGAATAGAGATATACTCACGTGCCGAGTGGCTGGCAGGATCGACGTAATTTCGTATCGTTACAGTCACCGCCTGTTCGATGTTCGTCACGTACAAATTTCGCTCCGGCGTCATCGGCGAAAAATTCGCATGGCGTGGTTCAAAGATTTTCCGTATACACAACTAATAAAATCATTTTTTAAATAAAAAAATTATCCTGATAACATTTTCTTACCTTTTGTAGAGTTGGCGTTAAAACAACGTAACCCTTCAACATAAAACTTGGAATAACAGCCTTGACGTGCGTATACTGCAGCTTCTCAACAATGTTGCGTAAGCTCGTGGCCTTCCTCATTTCATAGACGAGCTTATCAATGCCATGCGGATCCAGCGGTAGCACCAGCAGTAAATAATACATATTGCTGTCGAGTGGAAAACTCAACGCCATCGCGTCCAACGAGCGGATGTAATAGAACGGCAGGATTGTATCGTAAGTCATGAAACTTATATTCGTCTCTTTATGTTTACCGTTTACCAGGAACGTGTATGGTTCCTCAGGTTGATAATTGGAATAATGTGTCTTTGGTGTGCTCATTGGAAGATAACGTCGATTATTATTGATGTAATAATCATCGTAGTATCTTGCAATGAGATAATCAATAACACTACGTTTCTTTCGCGTTTGTTTTTCTGTGGTTATTATTTTTGCTGCTATTTTAAACGATGAGGTGTTTTGGGGTTTACCAGGAAAAGTTCTTTCACCTAGGATTTTATCCTCGAGGCTTGTGGCTTCAGTATTTTGTGTTTGAGTATAAGCTGTCATTGGTTCTGTTGTTGTGAAAGTAATTTCTGAAACTGGAGTGTTTGTGGTGGTTATAGTTGAAGATGTTTCTGTTTTTGTGAGTTTCTGGTTAAGTTCCGAAAAATTTCATTGTCACGCTCAGTGAAGGTTACAAACTCTTCTGTTTGTGTGGTACCCACTACTCCAGGAGTAATAGTTGTGGGGGTTCTTGGTTTATCAGTGGTTGCAGTTATGGTTTCCGCTGAAGTTGTTTCCATTGCAAAAAGTGGTACCTTCAAATGTGGTTGACTCATATTTCAAGGTACTACCCTCCGGGATTTCATATGCAAGGGTAATGTCACTGTTTTCTGTTGTTGTGAGAGGTGTACTTGGTCTAAAACTTCCGTGATTGAAGGTACACCAGTTGTGGTACCACTTGTACTAGTTCTACTTGGTAAATATGTTGTAGCTTCAAAAATGTCCCTTTGGTTGTTTTAAACGATGATATGGCAGTGACACCATCAGGACTTGTTGGTATTCTGATTGTACTAAAATCAAACTCTTCCTCGGTACGAAAACCAGGCTCATCATCACTTTCACTTTCATAACTTGCCGAGGTACTTTTAAATTCCTCTTTGGTTATGGAAGTCAACGTGGTATCTGTGACCACATCAGTTTCTGTTGGTATTTCTGACCGGTCTTCACTCTCAGCACTTTTAAGCGTTGTGGTCATAGAATAAAATGTTTCTGTACGTCCTTCTGGATCAGTAACATCAATCGCTTCGGTTGTATAACTTCTTGTTGGTAATTTTTTCGTAGTGGTACCTTCTACATCTTCATCATTAGGCGATGGTAATAGTGTAGTAGAAGGCATTTCAGTGGTAGTTCTTGGTCTTTTCTTTCTAGTAGTTTTGGGTCTTTTTGTACTAGTAACACTTTCAGTTGTGGTGGTACCAGTTGTTGTACTTTCTGTAACATCACCGTCCATAGGCAGTGTACTGGTGAGCTTATCGATAATAGTACTGATCGATTCCAAGGTCGTCGTTTCCGGTAGTTCTGTAGTTGTAGTCATATCCGACGGCGTCATTGTCGTTGTTGGTTTCATCTTTCCTGTGGTCATGGTGACTGCCGGCCTGCGACTGGTAGTGGAGTCGTAGATATCAGGATACACCGGATTGTTGAACGAGTCGATGTCGTATCCGTAGAACTTCAGGATGCTTTGGTATTCGCGATTGAGCGTGATGTTGTCGTGACTCAGGGTTAGGCCAGCGAGGAAACCTTCTTTCGGTATGAAATAACTCTATTGTTTTTTTTTGTGGAGAATCAATTAAATCTTGATTAAAACAATTGAACGACTCGTACATTGGCAATAATTCACAATAATTAAAAGTAATTAAATTAAAGAATTTTGTGTCTTTGGTTTTTTTTTTAATACCTTGAGATGGCGGTGAATGTCTCGTAATCCGATGCGTACGACGGACAAATCTGGTGGCAGTTGTGTGGCTATTTTGATTTCGTAGGCCGCTTCACCGGCCAAACCTTCTAATATTGCGATGAGGACGCTTGTTGCTCCGTAGGGTGATATGGCAATGTTGTTTTCATTGTGTTCATTGTGAGCCTTGAAAATATTACGAATCTTGGTTTTATTTTGCAAATAATGATAAATTTTTCACAATCACAACATGACTTTAATGTTTGTATTATTGATTGCGTAAAAATAAATTTAAATATTAAATAAAACTAAATTTAAAGCACTGGTGATATAATATTGAATCAAACGTAATAAAATGCTTCAATTTATTCATTTGCTGTGCATTTGAAAACAATTTACATAAAAAATCAGTTCGTCAGACAACGGTGACAAGGTTAATGATATGCGCATTTTTTCCTCATTTCCCTTTCAGCAATTTCGCAAATTAGCACCTGAATCCATCACCCATCAACTATAAATTGCCATATTTATCATTTCCTCATTTTTATCATCCTTCGTGCTGTAGCATCTATCCATCCTAATGCAATATTGCAATAATAAATTTATTCATTGTATAAAATGGCATTGTACGTTCGTCAATTATTCTATTTTCTGAATTGGTCGCATAGTACAATTACAATCGCGTTTCATTTTGATTGCAAATATGAATAGCATAAAATTAGTTAAAATTTTACAAGCATCACAATGCAATGCAAATATTATTGTAAATATTATTTTTACTAATGAAACAGTCGCAGCGATTTATAATTCGTTTTCGAAACTTCTGGTTTTGAAGTCGTTTGTTTCCAGTTGAAAATTGTAATTAATATTTAATCCATAAATAATTCATGCAGTTGAGAGTTGGGTATTTGCACAATTTTGGATGTTGGATATATTTTATAACGAATTACTCTTTGCGTCGCGTTGTTTGTTGTGACATTCGGCATGGATAAGTAAATAGCATTCAAATCGGAACAAATTGTCAACAGTTTGTTGTTTACTGCGTGGCAGCTATCAGCATCATTTCCATTTGCATGTAAATTAACTTGGTATAAATCTGTTGCATACATCTCTTTGAATTATTTACAACGTTTGATGTGGTATTTTATATTGAAGATACTTTTACTTTTTATTTAGAACAAAAAAAATCGAGTGTAAATGTTTAAAGTTAACGCTTTGGGCACGGAGTATATAAAATGTACATTTTACACACTTAATAATTATGTACTACTTAATCAAATCTCAGATTAAAGGAAAAATTTTAGTTTTGGTTAAAAACAATCTTATTAACTGTGGTTGTAATTGACTACATAATTATTTAACAAAAAAGTTGGAATTTTAGTATAATTGAAGATTATTATAAACAGTTATCTAGGTAAAAAATATTGATTATAAGAACTTTTAGAGTAATTTAATTGTTTATACAATTAAATATTTCTTGTAATTATTTATTTTATAAAAATAACCCAGTGAGTCACAAAGTATTTTGCCTTTGTGTGATATTTAATTTGTTTCGATTAATTATTTATTTACTCTTATTTACTTATACATTTGATTCAAAACAATAAATTCCCTCTGACTTTGCTTTTGAGTCTTTATCCGCACGAATAAAATTTAATTCCATTCTCGCTGAACTCGCGAGAAGCGAGCGAATAATTAAAGCCATCTTTTAAATTCGCAGTTGAGCACCAAGTGCTTCCATTCGAAGCATAAATAAATAAACAAATATAGAGTGAACTATTGTTCGCCTAAGAGAATTAGTTAAAGCAATAAATTCAAGTGATAGTAAATAATAATATAATTATAATTGAATAAAAACATTTGCTATTATTCAATCCAATTTCTAGAAAACAATTTTTAAATTTATTAAATGTTTTATTATACGTATAATTAATTATCATTTATGTGAATTCACACGGTATGAGGCTCATACGCTTGATAACGTATCATCATCGTTTTGTTCCTCAATGAACAGGAGCATCATCTTTTTGCGTGGGCTTTTGAAAGTCTAATTAATCCTACATCGCTTGACAAAATTTCAGACACATGAAAATAAATGTTCAATTTGACCTTTGTTCTTTAGAGCGTAATTTATTTGCTTTAATTTATCATTGTCGAATTGTATTATAAAATGAATACAAATATTAATTAATGATTTTTTGTTATATATTGTGCTGCTCGAAGGCAAATGCGCAGGCGCAAACTCCGTTCCGTAGATAATACCCGTAGATAATGGATATTACTCACGGCTTGACTGTTCATATATAAAGTAACACTTTGGTGTCTAAAACCATGGAAACCGCTTTATACGTGGAAGAAGTAAAAATATTTTTAACCAAAGAGATTCAATCATAGTTATAGTTACACGTATATAATTTTATTCAAGATGGCGATAAAGTCTATTATTAGCATTTTTCATTAAATTAAATTAAGTTCGTGAATTTTATTGACAAAGTAAGCACGTAATAGGCCTAAGAACCCACAAAATAAATAGTTAGGCTTCTTTTTAGGACTAAATACTGCCATTAGATAACACCATATTCATTCCCATTTCAAATGATGATTATTGTTTTTATGCTGCGCCTCTTGTGTTAATACACAGGTGAATCAACATTAGGTGTGTGTAGCGTGGGTAAATTTCGTTCGTTATTAGACATTATGTAGTTCGGCGTGTAAGATGCAATATAATAAAAGTGAGGAAAGGATTAAATCGTCGAGCTGCTTTTTGTAGGACGCGTCTGCTGTGCGTTGCAGCGGGTGGCGGCGGCGGTGGCGCGTCGTTTGTCGCACGTAGAACGACACTTTCCGTCGATTGCCGTAATTAACCTAGATACAACACGTTACACAGCTTGCACCTATTCAACCGACGGCGGCGCGCGGCGTCGCGCAATGCCACTTTGCTCGACGAGTTAACGAGCAATTGAAAACTGCGCGCATGTAGCACACAAGCGGGGGTGTAGTAAAATATTACAGTTTTGGCTTAAGGTGTCAATATGCACCCTTAGGGTCAAGAAGTGGCAGAAATAAATTACAAAGAAATTAATTTAGTAGTCAACAAAATTTCCATGCGCAAATTTGGCAATTTTCTGATTTTTGTCAAATATTATTGAAAAGTTGACGAACTAATTATTTTAATTTTTATTTTGGAGCTTTAGTTTGTCGGCTGTGCCAATAAGAAATGAGAAAAGCACTTTAGCTTATCGCTTTGATTTATACAATTAAAATTATGATTGAATCTACATACCAACTTTATTCCTTATTTTGCATTATGTCTATTATATTTTTTAGACAGAAAGTAGTCTATTGGTTTTTTAGTTTAAAATATTTCTATGCCTAAAATTGTCAAAATTTGATGAGTGGTTTTTTCATATTTTTGATATTTATTAGTTAATTTTGCTTTAATATGGAGATAAATGTAGCAAATCACAAATAGAAATCTCACTACCCCTAAACTAAAAATACACTACCGAATTTGTTTATGAAAAGTTAATTTAATATTTAACCACCCTAAATATTAATTATTCAAATATCTGTTGACCTATTTGATCGCGTTATTAAAGTTAATACGCAACCTTCATTAGTTTGTTGATACATTACACATACATTATAATAACGCGCAAAACAAAAACGAATAAATTAGCCATCCGAAATAATCAATAATAACATTCCCATACTGGCATAAACAAACGCGTTATATCCCTACATTTACCCTGCTCTACATTTATTATCACAATTTCTACATAATGCTGTTTTGGTGCACATAATATATGCCTTTTTATGCTTGCTTGTTGGACTCCCTTGCCAATTCGCCAACTTTTGCGATTTCAAATATTTAAGTTATTCACATATAAGGTTACAGGGTAGGTAATACCGACGCAAAAGTTTAAATCGGACGAATAAATTTAGCCTGCGTCTTGGAAACAAATAAGTAAGCGGTATAAATACTAACCTTATAAATAATTAAATAAACTGCGCGTATGAACATTTATGATATTGCATTTGCGATAAAATGCTTATTTTTTAAATTTATTATGTTATTAATTTCATCGGATTATATATTGTTTGAATAATTTATGAAATGCTATTATTTACTAGATCTATGTGCTATTAATTGTTTATAATAGTTGATAACTGGGTTATTGGGCGTTGGGGCACTCTGAACGTATAACTGGTATTTAGTGTTAATAAAATCCATACGTTCAATAAAAGCTCGAGTGCATATGGTGCACTGATATGAATTGCATTAGGTATTGATTAGCTAAATGTATGCTAATAAATTTCAGCAAAATTCCGTTATTAAAACAATAATTTTCCACATTTTATCACACAAAAATTAATTAAAACAAACAAAAATTCATTTCATAGCATAAAAATGTGACAAGTTAATTTAAAAGAATTAAAATAACAACATTAAACAATTTTTTAAATGTCAGATATGAAATAGTAAATAATTTAGCCTTCATTATGCAACGCGAATTAACAGCAATGTCTCTAATCAACATCCACATCTAGCATCAGTCGATTGTGCCCGGCAAGGATAATTCGACGTAAAAATCTGCTAACTATGCGACACGATTACGCGAATTACATTATGCGAGTACAGTTACACTTATTTGCGAGATGAGCCGGTCAACTAATCGGCGGTTTACAAATGCTCAATAGAATTGCGAATGTGACTCACTTCCAGCAGCGCTAATCCCATATTATTAATAACGTCCACCATGATGTCCTTCGGTATCCTCGAGTCGTGCACGTAAGCGTGCCCGTGGTCAGGCGGTGGATGATAACTATCGCCACCATCCTGATACTGCCCGATTTGATTGTGATTGTAATTATGATTGTCCGGCTTCCACCAATGCGTGCGATAACCGTTGACGTGCACGTGTGTAGCAAACAACACCATCCAAAATGTACACATCACTTTGTGCGGGATTAGGTTATGTATAACTCCAACAGCCATTTTAAAAAAATAATTTAAAGAGAATGAAAAAAAAAACCCGACGAATTTCGAATTTAAAATGTTGAATTAGTAATTAATTACGTATGAAAACGTTTTGAGAGCGTTTGTCGTGCTGCTGGCGGCAGCGAGCGAGCGTCGTCGTCGACTGGGTAAGCGAACGCGAGACACATCCACACTGCGACCACCTGAAGTTCTGAAGTCACGCCGAGTTGATGTCCCACCTAGGGACGACACCAATTTATTCAATTCTCGATAAAACCAGCCAATGACCACGGGTCACATGTATTAGTATTTTTTTCATGTGAGGTTATGTTGTGTACACATCAATTACACACAAGTACTTTGAACTACAACTAGAATACTTTAAGGTAATTCAATTTTTTTAAACTACATACAAAGTATTATCAAAACTTTACAAAATAAAATTTACAGTTTACATTCAAAGTACTCAAATTAATTCTTGAAAATTATTTTTATTGCCTGTATATTACACGAATATTACACACACAAAAAAGTTATGAATGGCTGTGAACTGTTGAAAAATTCAACCCTGCCTTTGAACCACGAAGCCAGCAAGAAGTACATTTATATTTTATCAATGCGGCAATAAGGAAACCAATATCGCGTACGTAATTCCACCAATAATAGTAACAATAGCAGCGCAAACACTGCTCGCACACACAGGAGCTAAACGCACAATCACATTCGTAAACGTCAATAACATCAGCATCGGCTCATGCACGCATATGGGTATTAATCGTGTGTGTGACTTTATAGAGCGTGGAATGTTTCTATCGACTTCCATAACTCGCAAACCGTTTTTCGGTACTATATGAAAGGTTTCGATATGATATTCATCATTGTACTAAATGTTTTTTATTGTTATTTGTATCAATTGAATCAGATGGTAGAATTTGGATATGTAGGTGAATTCGCTTTTGTTGAGAATATGTCAAAGGTTAAGCAATTTGACATAAAATGTGTTTTATGTTTTTTTTCTACAAGAAATTATGGTAAATTTAGAATAATTAACGTTTTTTAAGGGAAAATAAATTGTACTTTTATTTAATATTGATTTAAGGTTATTTTTTATTTGCTTTCGTTAATTTTTCACAAAAAAATAAATAAAAAAGAAAATTGTTTTGCATTTGCGATTAAAAATGTCTATAACATTGTATTTTTCTAAATTATAATTAACGTAAGGTCACAACAAGAAATTACTAATTACATTAGTACATAATTACAATTGGCAATTACGCGATTGCTGAAATCGTGTATTTTAGCGACCAATGAAGACATTCAGCAATTTGCCGATGAATTGATTGCCTGGTTTCCTCCCATGTCCACCCACAAGTATATCAAGCGATTGTTGTGGCGATTACCGCTTAAATTGACAGATTACAAATGTCCCAATGCCTCTCTCAATCTGAGAAGCAATAAATTACAATTATTTACCACTTGTGAATCGACGCCAAACAAATCGCTGGCGTTTACACTCTTGAAATAATAGAATACGGAAAAAAACTTATGCAATAAAATTGCAAATAGCCAATTGTAAATCGTAAATTGCAGATTGCAGATGGGAAAATGCAAGATGTCACTGAGCGAAGAATTAGGATATATGCGATGTATAAAGTTAAAGTTAGTACTAGTACTTTAAAAGCGATTACCGCGTTACCGCGGCGAAGCAAACGAATTGAAACAAATTGCTCTGGTCGCGCATTGTTTTCCATTGCAATATACGATGAAAACGAAGAAAAAGAAACCAAGAGTGTTTCCAACACTTGGGATGTTGTGTGTCTTCAGTTGTACACGCTTAGAAGTCAAAAGTAATTCGATTGAAGACAGGTTTTGTATTAATATAACGTGAAACAAAACGTAAGATAGAAATACACGTAAATGTGGAATAAAGGGACAACAAAAACTCGGACCTTGACTTCAACTTTTCTGAATAGTCATAAATTTACGTTCAGTAACGTATTTATATTAAATTGAAATAGATTAATGTATTGTAACACCTATAATATAAAAATGAATCGCAAAATCTGTTGGTAAGCGCATAA